AAAGTCGAAATGTTGATTCAAATTTGGGTAGATGGTCTTCTATTAATAGCAAAGATGCAGAGATATGGATGAAGTTTTGACTAATTGTTGCAATTTTAGAATTTCATCATGTGGAATTCTGTGAAGTACAGCCAGAATTGAAATAAAATGAAATGGGAAGATTTTCTTGATATTGACATGTTATGGAGTTGCAAATTGTCTCTTTATCTTCAATTTTTTTTTTTTTTGCTCTCAATTGCGGTTGATTTTTTTCATAAGTATTTAGAAAAGTTCCAATTCAGGAAGTATATTTGTTTAAGACTGCTTATACAAACTTGGTTTTAACTGGAAGGAATGATTAGTTTGTGACAGTAGGTGCATGCAAAAAAGATGTTAGTACCCAACCTAAAATACCGGCGGTGGACAAGAGTATGGTTTTAGGGATTGTGTGAATCTATAGTGTTAGGGATGCATTTAAAGTGGAATGAATATATAAAATTCATGTGGATGTACATAGAATTTAAATAAATGAATTTAAAGGACAAAATTGGAAAATGACGTGGATGTAAATAGTATTTTTTTTTTTTAAATTTAAAAATTTTGTAGTGGATGAACTTATAAAAAATGTGGATGGAAATAGCGGTACCCTAAAACTTTTAGACACAAAACTTTGAATTGTCAATAATATTTTTTTTCGTGCTCTATAAATACTCCGCATTTTAATCCATTTTTCACATAAACCCTCTATGTTCTATCTTCTACATTTCACAATCTAATTATTCACTCTCAAATCTCAATTCAATTCCTCATTAGTTATTACATCATTCAATCATCAATTTATTTAATTCATCCATTACATTTCTCATTTTTCACATTTTCTCACTTTATCTCAATTTTATAATTTTTATACATTCCAATTTTATTTCATATAAATGGATCACAATTCTTATGTTGATGGCTCATTCGATGACAACTCACATCTAATGCACAATCTCAATTCCATAATGAATCTTTCGATCTCAATGACATCCAAATTCTCGATGATTTAGACGTTGACGATGTTCATGGGAGTGGTCATCCAATTGATTTGAATGATATTGATGAAGAAGCGGAACAAGAACTCGAAATACCCAATGCAAGAGGCGAGCGAAAGTCTAAAAAAACTGTAGTGTTGAAAGCACTTTAAATTAATTTCAATATGTCGTACAGTCGATGGAGTCCAAGAATGTAAAACAATTTTTTAAATATTGTCAAACAAGATTGGCATGGCAAAAGGGAATTGAAATTACTCACCTCAATCGTCACTATGTGAAGTGTTCAGCCAAACATAGACTTGTTTGCCAAACACAAACACAACTTCAATTTGATAATCTCTCTCTCGGTACTAATTCTTCTACATTAAGCACATGGATCTATTCAGAAGAAAATTGTCGTAAAGGAATGTTGAAATTCGTTAACGGTGTTGAATTCTCCCTGAGCATTGTGGATAACCTATTTTTCACAAAGTTTTTATAAGAATATCTTCAACCAAAGTATGTTGGAATAAGTAGAAATGCTCTTCATTCCAATTGCATTGCATATTTTGTTAGGCACAAGAAACAAATAATACATGATTTTACAAAAATATAGTGGTGTTATATCATTCAACCATGTTACATGTACATTTTCCTTCACACCATGGTTGAAACTTTTCCACATGGATCCATCAAAGACATTGATTTTAAATTTATCTATCACATCACTGCACATATTTCTTCCACATAGGAGGAATTTTATTGAAATATTATTTTCTATGGAACTAAAGTTTAGAAAATATAGGGAAGACCCACCTATGTTATTTTCTCTAGTTTGCGTAACGAACCTCAGGCACAATTTGAAATGTACTAAACATGTTATTAGAAAAACGGCAAATACTTTAAATTTTGATACTCATATCACCTATTCTAATTTATAAAACACGTTATCTTCAATGTATGAATTATATGCACAACGATTGGGTGCCGATAAGTGCAGTTTTTACACTTATTCGAGAACCTAAATCATAATATTTGATTTTCTTTTGGATAAAATTCTACCTAATTTATGTAATATTGTATTTTGTACGTAAGACTTTATATTTAATGAAAAATTGGAGAAAAGAATGCAAAATGTGGCAAAAAATGACAAAATTCAAAGAGGAAACATTGGAGAGAAATAGTACATTAAATGGGTTGGAGTTAAATGAGACTCACTGGACTTGTATTGAAAATTTTAATTGGACCTCACACACACACACACACACACCCACCGTACACACATAAATAGTGAGAGAAAAAAAGAAGGAGAAATGCACACAGAAAATAGGAGAAAAAGCGGCGGTTGGACAGAAAAGCAGAAAGAAAGAAAAAAGGGCTGCCAGCAGAAAGAAAAAAAGGAAAAACAAAAAAGAGAGAAAATAAAAAGGCTGCCAGAAAGAAAGAAAGAAAAATGAAGAGAAACGGGGAAAAAGGAAGCACTTTTGGATTGCGGCTGTTTCTTTGTCAAATATTCATGTTTTGTCAACTTTTTGTGATGTCGTTTCATTTTTGCGCGTTTTCATTTTTACAGTATGAGTGATTAATTTTCATATTATGGTAAAAAATGTAGTCGACTTGATCTTTTATTTTTCTATTCAAAATTTCTATAATTTATTTATTTATGTGTTGGTTTTACAATGAGTTTAATGCATTGAATTAGTTGATCATTAATTTGATGATTACATAAGTATCTTACGAATCGAGAGGTGAGTTTGAGATTTAGACCATATAATAAAATTCAATAAATTAGTATAACGTGTAGATATATATATACTAATTATTGCGGTCATAATATGAAT